GTTACCAGATTCATGACAAATATAAATGTTAGTACTGAATGTTAGTACTGAATTAGTTTTGTTCTACTGTTTGTTAGTTTTTAGGTGAGAAGATAGTGGGAACCACAAGGGTTAACATGAATCTTTATTATGCATATTGGAACATTTATAGTCCCTTGGGACTTTCATATTCTTGCAAGCAGGTACAGCAAGCTTCTTAACATGCAGTCATTAACTTTGTCAAGGGAAACAGTAAAATTAGCCTGTGACATTGCTATTCCCTAGTTATTCTCGCTTAGTTTCGCTCATGTTAGAGTAGTATAATCTTACGGATGTTTTCATCACAAGCCAAGAGAAAATGATGAAGCAGTTGATTACATGCATAGTGAGATATATTGAATTTCCCTTTGTGCCTCGCTCAAGTAAAATTTAAGGCGCATTGAAATAAACATTGCATAGGGTAAGTCATAGGCAATGTTGGGCAAATACTGTTTGCCAAAACATTGTTGCTGACCTCCCAATCAGTGGAAAAATCCAGACATTGAGATTATACTCAGGACTGGCATCAGGAGTCTGACTGACAAGCATCTCATGGACCTGTTCCTCTTCTTCTCCATCATTGCTACCACCTTTTCATTCTCTTGCTTTGGCCCAGACCATGGCTTTGGTGTGGAGGAGGAGCTGTAGATACCATTACTGGTTAGCTCATCAGCTCTCACCTTGCTAAAGAAGTAGATAGAAGCATGGAGGAGCAGTAGCATCAGCATTTGACAACAACGCTGGTAAGAAAATAGACTCACCAATGTAGATAAAGCTTCTATAATGTTGAAATATCCTTGCATAGTCACACTCAGCACCAGGAATCAAGTGGCAACTTGTTTCTCCAGCAGTTGGTGTTGATCTGGGCAACATATAGGCCAGAGACCTTTGGACACCTTAGCTGAGCAGCATTTTGAATATGTCAGCCCACTGAAATCCTGACACACTATAATGATCTGCAGATCTGTGAATCTGAGACTTAATATGGCCTTCTTACATTAGGGCAAGTAGTGAGCAAATGTTGGTCTTTTAAGCAATCATGGAAGCAGCAGCAATCCCAGAATATCACCAATGATCATCATGATTATACATGACCAAGGTAGTATGGTAGCATCTGTCTAAGACCACATGGTCTAGGTATGATGAAGGCCCTTATAGTATAATGAGAGGGGTATGATGTGGTATAGTGTTTTAAGCAGAGGTAGGCAAGCTGGTGCCTTCCAAATGCATTGATGTACACCTCCCATTTTCCCTAGCCAAAATGGCCAAGGATACTGGGAGTTCATCCTCTTGGGTTGGTGTGTCACATGTGGATAAGGAAGGCCATGAATCTGACTGGGTGAGCTTGAGTCAGCCTTTCATCTCATTGGGAAACCTTGGGCCAATTGGTATCTTTCAGCATAAGCTTAACCCTCACCAGGTTATCAAGCGGATAAAATGGGTGGGAAGAGAACCATTCTGAACAATTTGGGATTAAAAATAGTAATAATTAAACATCAGCATTCTCAGTACAAATTACTTTTCACTCGTTGTTCTTGAAGTGGCTATCATCACATATACCACCAGAAAGTTAGAAACACAATGATAAGAGGTAATAAACACAAATATTTGTGTAAGAAGATTAAACTGCCTTACTTTCTTGAGGAAAAAGTTGATCTCAAATGGGTTGATAGCAGACTCTCCCATCCCCCTTGATTGTTCCCTTCTTGAACATTCTTTTTGGACAGCTGTTTGATCTTCCATGTTGTTTCTTTAGGGAGGAGTCCTGGGACAAAGTAGAAATAGATTATAGAAAAATATAACTGAAGAAGCTACTCAAAGACAAAATGGGATTGAAAACCAGTGCTTTTTTTGTAAGAAAAAAGATGCCGGAATTCATGAAATTATTTACTTTTTGCACGTAGTCAGTCACACACCCACACACGTCAGTTGTGTAACGAAACATAACAGTCGCTGTCCGCAGTAAGCACTCAGCACACGACCAATCACAAGCCGAGCAGCACCATCACACCAGCGCGGATGAAGTACGCATGCATCGGATTCGACACACAAGCAACCTGCATGCACCGCTGACCTGCTACGCTCGACAGGACGATTCAAATCCTTGTGGACCAAACATCAAATTTTCAAAAGTTACTTTTAAAACTTGGAAAAGCTGTTGAAAAAAACGTGCCGGAACTCTGTTCCGGTGCGTTCTATGACAAAAAAAAACCACTGTTGAAAACAATTCTGGGGGGTCAAGGAGAGGGCACATATACAGACTGATTGACTTCGCAGTAAGTTTGACAAATTGAAAAAGACTTGCCAGATCATGTAGAAGCAATCATGAGGAAATAGTGCATGACTTTACAAAATAGGAAATATCTTAGGAAAGTATAATGAAGAACCTGTTTACAATGGCTAAAGTGAGTTGGCAGATGCAACAATGCACGTGATGCTATTTTCTTTTCTTTTTTTCATACATATACTTTACCTATCATCAGGTATGGAAGATATATGGCAACTTTGCAGGTAAATAGGTCATCTAGTGAGGTTGGGTTCATTGAAAAAAAGTCATTTGAATTCTCTTCAGAGAAGCTTCAAAAGTTTTAAATGATTTTAATGTTCTTTGTATCTAGATGATGCATTATTAATTCCCAATATTGCCTATAGGTCTACAAAAATGTTTTGTCAACATTTGCAAGCAAATAACCTGAAAGTGAATAATGTTGAATTTTTTAAAAAAGCAAAGCTATTTTGTGTATCAGTAAAAACCAATCATAATGTGTGTCTTTATGCATACATTAGAAAATGTCTCTATTTTAAAATAGAAATTGAATAAGTAGATTTGCTTATAATGGCAGCACAGCCAGCCCTTTGGCAGTGTGGAGGGGAACCTGTCTATCAAGAAAAGAATGGAAATAATATTAATACCAGCAGTGTGAACTTTAGAGGAGGAACTAATACTCCTAGAGGGGGCTGAGTTACGAGTGGATGGAATAGGTTAGAAACTGTTTTTAAATTGTCTTTAATTGTCTAATTACTGACCTTGCAAAAATAACAAACAATAAAAAAGCATGGTAGTTCCTTTTCTATTCAGAAGTTGGAATAGTGAACGTACCAGGTTTATCTCAGATAAGACCAATTAAATAATGAAAGCTTATTCATCTAACAGGTCACCAAAATTTTTGTACAATTGAAGTACAAGAAGTAACTGAATCACAAGAGTGCTGTTTCATCTTTAAGTAGGCAGAACAGGGAGATAGATAGTATGGATCTTAGTTATATGCAAGGTTAAATGGCAGCAAAGGACTGTATGTTTCATCGTAAGCCAGCAACATTATCAGCACAGGTCAGTCACTCCCTGACCTGCTTTTCTTTTCAGGGAAGGAAACATGTTCCTCTGGCATGCAGAGCTGGGACATATACAAGGCCACTGAATTGTTTATATCATGGTCAAGATCCAAACAGTCCCATGTGCAAAGGAAAGTGCTTCTTTTGCATTGGCTCAGGATCTGTTGCTCCCGCAAGAGCTATATCTGAAGTCTAGACTTCCGCCCCCAGATCTGTATTCAGTACAGCATGATGGGCTACATCCAGTGAGGCAGATCATCTGCTTGGGAAGGGCAGGATTGGTGGGGGTGGTACCTTCCAGTTTTGTTGGGATGTGCCATCATCCCTAACTAGGATAACAAATGTCCACGCTGGAAGACATCCAATTGAGAAAGTCTGGTACAGAATGCATGAGCATCAGTAATGCTTTGAAACTCTGAATGGCTCACCAAATCACAGCATTCCTTGCACAAAGGAATATCCTTACCTTCTCATTTCGAGAAGACTGCTGTTTCATGGAGACTGATGACCCATGTTTTTAGTTGGAGATGCTTGTTTTTTTATTTTAGTTTTATATATTTTTTTATTTTTTTGTAAATAATAAGGAACAGAAGGAAAAATAAAAGCATACAAAGAAAAAGTTACCAAGGAACCACATACTAAAATTGCTTATGAAACTAGATGCAAGAAGTTCCACAAAGAATCAGCAATAGACATTATTTCATTGTCTATTATAACTACAATTTTACATGATAATATGTAGTTATAGATAATGCTTGATTAAATCAGTAAGTGGCCAAATGCAACTAATAATTTCACTTAGAAAATTGCTTTAACATAGCAAGTAAGCTATGATTCACCCAGAACATATCAGAAACCAAATTAGAATTAGAGAGAATATTTTCCTCTCTTTTCTTTCTCTCCTCCTCTCCGCCTCCACTCCCCACCCATTTCCCCTTCTCTTCATTTCAGAAGACAATAGTATCCAAAGATTCAATTTTTTATCTCAATTATAGATAAAATAAAAATTGATAGGCTTTCCAATTCTAATCCAATTCATTAACTGGATTTCCTTCTTATTAATGATGTATCAGCTTAATCATCCTTACTTAAACTCTATTTTTGTCTCATTAAGTAAAACATGCATAATAAGCTTCCCAACTATCTTTGAAATATTGGACTAGTCTTCTATTTGCATAGTTGGTTAATTTTGCCATCACTGCATATTCAGCTAGCTTGTTTTTCCAATTTATACTGGTGGAACAGTATTGGTTTTCCATTTTGTTGCAATCAAAACTCTGGCTGCTGTTATCATATATTTAAATAATCCTCCCATATTTCTTGGCAGGCCTTCTGGTAAAATACTCAATAGCATATTTTTAGCATTCATTGGGAAGTAAATTTTCATTTTTTTTCCTGTATTTCTATATGTATACCTTTCCTTTAAAAAAAATACCTTAGTACACATCTACTACATATGGTAAAGAGTCCTTTCTACTTCTTTGCATTTCCAATGCTTTCCATTACAATTCTTGTCCATTTTTGAATATCTTTGAGGATAATATACCAATGGAGGAACATTTTATACCAATTCTGATTGCATCAGTAACTGTAACCTAGTTAAAAATTAATGTTGCTGATTATTATGTTATATTTGGATTTTTTTGCAGGTGCTGCACAACAGACTTATCATGGAAATGGAGCATCCAACAGTAGGGAAGATAGCTGTTCCAGGTTGGGATTTTTCCTTAAGATTTTGTGTTGTTGATCGAAGGGAAAAATTTGTGGAAATAGGATCGCCTCTAATGGGAACTCATGTACAGGAATACTGTGTGTGCAGCTTCTGAGGCTGAATCTCTGCATCCAACACTCTGGGTTTTCATATTTGTGGGGCCAACACCTGATTAATTTGCAATACTGCCATGGAGGAACCTGTTTTACATTCCGAATAGAGCCTCTTCCCCCACTTTCAAAGTAGTAGCCTGGGATTGGCAAAGCTCACACATTAACCATTAGGCAAAATAGGCACTTGCAAAACTCTGGATTGTTAATACATGGGTAATAGATTGCCATCAGTGAGCTTCGTTTTGCTAATTGTATTAAGATTACTTTTTTAGATTTTGATTAATTGATTTATTTGATTAATTGATTAATTCAGAAAAGGAGATGCATTAAGCTATGCATGAATTGGCAATTGCCAAGGATGCCACGTATTCCCACCCAGAGAGTTTCTAATTCCCAAGGCTATTCAGGTTTTGCTGAATGATGCTGGAGTTTGGTCAGTCTCCAGGTAGAGAAACCTTCACTGCCATAGATACTAAGTTTGCTCCTCAGTGTGCCTTGTACTGTCTTCAGAACCAGAATACAATGTCGATAGTCCTGGTTGACATTAACTCAGCCTGTATTCATACATAGAACCCCCCATTCACAGACACATATACTGGAATATTCCTTGGAAAATACTGCTAGGTGCGATTCCGAAAACCTCCCAGTAACTGGTCTTTATGAAGAGGAAGGTTGCTATGCTCCACACTACCTGAAGGCTCCAGAAAATTAAGGGCAGCACCACAGATATCACATTAATTGTTTCATTCCCCTTTCATTTGAGCATGTGGCATTCCCTGTCAAACCTCTCTGATTCCTGGAGAATGCAAAGTTTCATTTCTTGGCTTGCAAATGGCTCCTTTTGTATGGGGACCCTTATCTAGGAAAAAATCTTGAGAATAGATTTGACGAAATGTTCACTCTTTGTTTTTACAAATGTTTCTGTGAAACCATCTACGAATGGCAATGCTCAAACCACTTATTCCACAGTAGTCTGTTTGAAGTTAATTGCTTACCCTGGAGTCAGTTGGACTAATCTGGAAAAAAACCAATGTATATTATTTGCACATCTGTGTTTGTTTTAGGTTTACCTTGAGCCTTACATAAATTGTGGCCTTCTGTGTTTGTATGAAATGGCAAAATATGGCTGAATCAGAAGGACTGTATTTTCTATTATGATAGGAAGAAAAGAGGTATCCTGAAAATAGTTTTTGTTCATTGTTATTTATTTATTATTACATTTCTTTACTGCTGATCAGCTTAAAGGCTCCCTGGGAGATTTCCAAAATTGGAAATACCATAATTAATATAAAACACATATAAAAGACGCAGAGCCAGTGTGGTGTAGTGGTTAAGAGCATGGGACTGGGATTCAGATGATCTGGGTTCTAGTCCCCGCTCAGCCATGGAGCCAACTGGGTGACTCTGGGCCAGTCACAGACTCTCAGCCCAACCTACCTCACAGGGTTGTTGTTGTGGGGATAAGATGGAGGAGGAGATGTAAGCTGCCTTGAGCCCTTTGTAGGAAAAAGGCAGGATATAAATCGAAAAATAAATAAATAAAACACAATCCCATTAATAAATGCCATAAAAGCATAGCACAACATTCCTCCACCACCATTTCAGCTAAATCTCACTCAGAGGTACAGTAAAATATGGCAAAAATGAGGATAAAAATCTAAATAAAAGTTTTCATCTGGTGCCTAAAGGAATAGAGAGTAGAACTGACTCCACAAATGGCATGCCATGACCAAGAAGGCCCTTCTGCTAATGGCCACCCTCCTTGCTTCCCTTGGAGGGGGCGCTCTGAGAAGGAACTCTGCTGGTGATCTCAGAGTTCAGGCAGGCACATACAGAAGGAAGCATTCCTTTAGATAGACTTGCCCCAATCCATTTAGGGCTTTAAATGTTAGCATTAACACTTTGAATCAGGCCTGGACTTCTATAGGTAACCAATGTAATTGACAGAGGTTTGGCGTGATGTGTTCATGTTGGTCAGTCCACATTAGCAGCCTCGCTGCTCAGTTTGAACCAACTGAATTCTCCAGACCTTTTGCAATGGCAGCCCCACATAGAGAGCATTTCAGTAGTCCAAACAAGAGGTTACCACTGCATGGATCACCATTGCTAGGTTCTGCCTGTCCATTTAGGATTTTATTTGGTAAATCAGCCTGGGCTAATAGAAGGTGCTCCTAGTCACTGAGTCCAGCTGTGTCTCCAGTGATAATTCAAGATCTAAAAGTACTCCTGGACTACAAACCTTGTCCTTTAGGAGGTGTGCAACCCCGTCCAGGACAGGTTGGATATTTCCTAACTGCACAGATAAACCACCTACTAACAGTACCTCTGTCTTGTCTGGTTGAGTCTGGTATACTGGGCCTTCTCCAGTCCATTATGAGGCCCAGTGCCAATTTAGAATAGTCACTGCCTCACCTGGGTTTGATGAAAAAGAGAGGTAGAGCGGAGTATCACCTGAATATTGGTGACACCAGCCAATACCTCTGGATGACCTCTCTCAGCAGTTTCATGTATATGTTGAAGAGCATGGGGGATAAAATGGAGACCTGGCATTGTGTGGAGTTTTAGTCCCCCAACACCACCTTCTGGAATTGGTCAGACAGGTAGGAATGGAACCATCTCAAAGCCGTGCCTCCAATTTCCAACCCTGCCAGCCTATGCAGAAGGATACCATGGCTGAGGATATCAAAAAGCACAGAAAGGTCCAAGAGAATCAACAGGGTTGTACTCCCCCTGTCTTTCTCACTGCAAAGGTCATTCCACCAGGCAACCTAGGCAGTTTCCATACCAAAATCAGCCCTGAAACCTGATTGAAATCGATCTAGATAACCTGTTTTATCCAAGAATGCTTGAAGCTGCTCAACCACTACCCGCTAAAACACCTTGCCTGGGAAGGGGATATTAGAAACAGGTCTATAGTTATTTGCATCTCCTGGGTCCAAACTAGGCTTGGTACTACTGCTTCCTTCAAGGAGGCATTCACAGTCTCCTGAACCCAGATGCAAATCTCTTCCTTGATTTTAATAATCAACCATGATGGGCAAGGGTCAAGCATACAAGTGGCAGGTTGAACCTGCCCAGGTACCTTGTCCACATCCTCAGGCCTCAATAACAGTGTTCTTGAGATGACTTTGAAAGAAACAGATACATGAAATTTGAAGCAGGAGTAAGAAAATAGTGATCTCTGATACAAAAACTTTTCATTCTACTAGCTTTGACCCCATCATCAAGTTATATGCTTAGCTAAGTTAAGCAAGTTAAGGGAAGAAAGAACAAGAGAGAATATAATATTGTTTGTCAGAAATAGAATTCCATAAATAACAGTTATTAAAACTCAGTTGTTCTCTTTTTAAATTGATGAAAGAACGTGGTCCACTATATTTGTAATTACTTAGAAATACACCTCCAGTTGGATGACATCCAGATAACATTATTGCAATGTGTGATAAATGGAGCTTCCTTTGAAAACTGTTTCATTTACTTGGGTTTAATGAACACCACTTTGCTTTTGTTTTGCTGCTGTTTTTATTTGTTTCCATGAGGCCGGTGACAAAAGTTGTAAAGCAACTGTACAGTTAATACTTCTATCCTATGCACATTTATGAGGGAGCTAGCCCCACTGAACTCTGACTTGCTTCTGAGTAAATGAGCTTTGAGCTGCAAGCCCCTTTGTCTGCAACAGCAATTAAAGGGATTTGAAAGTTTCCTTGTCACTTTTTAAAATTGTCATGTTGACTGCAAAAAGAGAAGCAAACTTGAAAAAGAGGATCAATTCTTTGAGAAGGAAATATTGGGCTGAAATATCTTACAGATGGCAACAGGAAAAGTACATAAAGTTTTCATGTTGCATGCAGCCCACAATCTATCTTTACGAAAGAAAATATTCCTTAAGGGACAAAGTTAAACTGCGAGAAGAGGAAAGGGATGAAAAGGAATGTTCTAATGGCTGTCAACAGAGGTAGGGAGAACAGGCAGGAAAGTAAGTTTTCACATGGGTAAGCTACAGCACTACCCAAACCATAGTTATTTTAAACTGTATTAAAACTCAAAGTCTGTGACAGTGGAGTGAAACCAAAATAAATCATTTTATTCTCAGATGATTTCCTATTTAGATGAGCTCCTATAAAGAGCTCGTTGTATTGGAGTAGACAGCAAAATGGTTCTATAGGAGAGTTCTGTGGGAAAAGCATGAGTTTTCCTTCCTGGCTGAGAATGGGTGAATATCCATGAATATAATTCTCCGCTCTGGCAGTGTGTATAAAAGTACACAAAGAGCTCACTTGGTGTTATCAGCTCCCTTTAAGAGAATTTTCCATTTACACATTCCTGTGCTGTATGACAAAGCTCATGTTCATAGCTTCACTGGCAGTGGCCAAGTCCAAAGTGGCAGATACTTTGCATGTGTTTCCTTTGCCAGCCTACCATGCAAAATGTGGAGAGAGAAACACCATTATTATATGTGTTGGAAGTGGATTTGTTCTCCAGGCTCACTTCATTCTGGATGGTCTTTGGGCCGCCGGAAGAAGGCAGATTGTAACAAATTTTCCAGACAGCTGGAAAAAGGACCACCCTCTCTATCTGGAATTAAGTCATTTGTTGCAAACAGACTTTTTTTTTCCTGGAGCAAGGATAGGGAGGCTTTTAACTCAGCAAATGTTTTTGTAACTCTGGTGAGCAGACCGAACAGGAAGAGTGGAACCTTTGGCACAGGTTTCAAAAGGTGTTAATGTCTGTTTGGAGAAGTCAAAGTATTGTCCTTGATCTAGCTGGTTCATCATCTCATGCCCAGTTACCATTTGAAGGGATACCATGGTTTTCATACACAGGGCGCCTTTTTGCCAGTTTCTCCTATAGTGTGGGAGTAGTTAGGTGAAGCATGAGCACCCCATGTA